AATAAGGTGGTAAGTAAACAATGTTTAAAAACTCTTGTAAGTTACGTGAATGATAATTTGTTGCAATAACAGAATAGTCTGACGATATAAAAATCATTTTGCCAAGATGGATGGAGACCGCACCAACACTGTTTTCCACAGTATGAAAAAATAAAAATCTCAAGATGTATTTGTCCTGTCTTTTTGCTGAAAACAATATCATACGTTTTATGATAACACGTAAACTATTTTGTTACATTTCGTGTGATATAGATAAATTGTTATTCCGTTATTTGCTTTATAGCCAACAGACAAGTTTCGGGCAGCATCCAGTTCATTTTATAATACCTCGTTTATTTATTGCATAAAAACTAAAACGTAAGTAAAGTCTAAAATAAAAACTAACGTAAATGCTTGTTGTCCTTATGAAAATACATAGATATAAGAATATCATATGGCATTTGTTATTGTTATTATCGCACTGACCCAAGTTTAAGTCATTCTCAATTTTAATTTAATTGTTCTTAAGTACGAAGCTTCACAATGGGCTATCTGTGCTCTGCCCACCAACGGTATCGAAACTCAATTTTAAGCGTCCTAAACCTGTAAACTTGCCGCTGAGCCAATGGGGCAAGGCGGTCTCCAATCTAAGGCGAACTTGCTTTTCACAGGTTAGATAAATTTTAAAAAACAGTAGTTGTACTGTAGAACAAAGTTGCCTGTTGCCCTCTTTTGACAATTTTTTACAACATGGTTTATAAAAAATAATAGGAAGCAATCAAACAAAACGGTCACACAATAAACTGACTTTTAATCTTTATCTGTTAAAATCCAATCCCGCTTAAAGTTGCCCCTCCCCTACTGAAATCTGAACTTTCACCCCTAGTGTTATGACGCGAATTTTATGATAAGAAGTTATGTTGAAATAAATATTCATGCAAATGTTAAAAATATACTGAATTCTATGTACTCATTACTTAATTGAAGTTTATGTGTACGTCACAAGTATACGTTTGTCAATCCTTTTTAATAACTATTATTACATGATAACAGTTAAAAATACTGTAATTTGAATCCTTGAGTTTAAACACAGTATCTTACTGTATCGAACTGGCTATGAGTATGTAGGTGTGAAGAAACAGCCACTGCCTTCTGAAGCGTACATAATTGCTCCAACGTAAATGAAATATTCCAAGAATTTGTCGCAACGTGATTTTACAGTGTGGCGTTTATCTGGTCAGTAAGGTGTAGAACGGTATGGTACTTGCCCATTCACGATATACTGAGAATCGGAACCGCTTGCTAAGGATACTGGTTTCGACGTTAACCTGCACTGCAAGTAGACTGGTGAATTAATGTTTATTTGTGATCAAAAATGGGGGTTTTTCACACCTCCCAAACCCTCCCCCACCCCGGCTTGAAACATGAAATTATCTAAGAATATGTATGCACGAAAAACTACGCTGAAGTAAATGAACCTTGTGTAATTGTCGACTATTTGCATGCGCTGCTATGGAAACCGCGACGAAAGAGAACAAATCTTAAAACTTTCCAAAACATCACCATGACAACTTTATTTGAATCATAAATGACGTTCTGGAACAGTTGCATAACTAATACAGTCAAATGGTGAATCATCGTATATGGTGGCATAAGATTCAGATTTACGGCATTAGAAAAATTCAAATACTTTTACTATCCACGTTGTAAAATATAATTAATGCACATAGTGTGCGAATACTAATAACATCTGAACAAGTTTAAGATTCTGGATTTTTACAAACCGAAAATTGTATCGTTGTTTTTTGTAAGAGCAACGCCACATATTGGGTTATTTGCACTGTGACCTACGCGAATATCGAGTTCCAAATTTTAGCATTATAAACCCATCAGTTTTATCGATGAGTCACCGGGGGGTTCCGAAATAAAAAGTTTGACTTCTTAGTTCGCTTCTAGTGGAATACAAAAATAAAAGCTAATAGTCATTATTTTTGATATTTTAGTCTTTACAATTAGTTTCACCAATACGGAATTCAAGCAGGCTCTTTGATTAATTAATCAATCGTTTAAATAAACATAAGAGCACAGCTCAACATCAGTGTACAATACGCTCTACGGAGTCTACGTAAGAACATACTTTTGTTATTTACTGTGGATAAAGTCAAATGGGAAGGTTGTGTGAGTCTAATATGTATAATTGGACTAGGAATATGTAATAAGTACTACATATGTTATATATGCCTCACTTATTTTAAGTTAATTTGGATATTGTAGCATCCAAACTCAAAGTAAAATAACGTTTATTAGTCAAATAATAATAGCTTTTTCATTATCGCGGTGTAATAAGGAGTAACGAGCTTAGCTTTTTTTTCAGTCTTTTATCTTTATTACTAGGAACTAACAGCCCCAGATATCAAAGATATTGAGCATCTTTCGCTTTTTTCATACTTAAATCCATCAGCTTTTTTTGTTTAGTGCACACGTACATTTGTGGTCCAGTCTTTTATGTTTTATTATAATTTTAAAATCGGTAAACACCACGTTTCTAAACTGTGACATCACAGCCCTATAAATTATCAACGTCTGTTCATAAACCCAGTATCAAAAGGATTGTTTTCATTCGAAGTGGTAATGCAGAAGAGGTTTGTTTATTTATTTTAGAATTTTCGTGCCAAATTTCAACAAACGCTATCTGCGCATGATCGTCTGTAGTTTTGAACTGATATACTACAAGGAAGACAATACGTTATTGCCAACTCTTGGGCTACTCTAATCGAATAATTAGATTTGACTATTGCTCTTATAGCTCTTCCAGGACACAAAAGTGCGAAACGCAATTTTGTGACATTAGGTCGCGAACCATGAATCCTAGAATTCACGGATCGGGCAAACTGTTAGATTTCGTCCAACTCGCAGAAGATGGTTTTTGGTCATTATCATGGCTCTCTTTTCTGAACACTCCAGTAAAGTGAATGTTTCCTATTAGGATTTATTATCAAATGACTGAGTCTAAACGGCAAATAATAAATGAAATAAAAAATACTGTACACAAAAGGCAAAACTTTTGTCCATTAATTTTATGACGTAGCTGTAAAGCACAAATTAAATGTATTTTAATTGAAAACGGCAAAATTGCTCTGTCCCTACCCTGGCTGAATAAAAGTTGGTTAGTCAACATTCATATAAAATAACCACATATTACCAGGCATATATGTAAAATGAGTTTTGTACTTTCAATATGCCGTTCATAAATATGTAGCAAGTTAAAACAAGGAAATAGAAAATGTTTGATCTTATTACTGTATGATTAATCGCCTGTGTAGTGTAGAAAGAATAAAAAAACAGCGCCAAATATGAAATATTCGTTTGAATGGTGTAAGCACATAAATTTGGTTAAAATTAATTTCAAGTTGAGTAAGTAACAGTTCTAAGATGTTTTACCTTACATTTGTTTTTCTCGCTATCATCAGATTACTCCTTAGTAATAAGTATCATGTTTTTTAACACTATTAAAATTTTCATTTATTTAGATCTTCAAAAGCTTTTACATTTCTAAAGTACACATTAACCGCTTGTCATTCTAGAGTTCTCAGTAGAAGACTACATGCGTGGTCAGTTTGCGGTTAGCGAGCAAGTGTGACAACAGGATGTTTCTGTGATTTGCTTTGTCTGGGACATGAGCAACTATACAATAAGATTTTGCCGAAGGCTAATTATTACTTGAATACTAGTGAAAATCCACTCCTTGCCCAGTAAGAATCTCAGTAAAGAGCTCTCGCGCACAGGTGGCGGATATCATTGTACAGTTCTTTTAGTTAGCTATTCAGTATGGACGGTATGAACGTTACGCCATGTTTTATGTGACAGCATTCATTCGCGCTGTACGTGTAGGGGTGACGGTGGTAGTTATTTTAAATGTTTTAATGTACATTTTGTGCATGTTTCCAATTTTCCAGGCATTACGTATACTAAAAAAACCTGATGAGAGAATTCCAAAATTGTACGCTGGTGACAATTTAACTTTGAGCAGCCATAACGCTAGAGCCAAAAGAAGCTCTGATGTCAACTTTGTTGTAAGTAAGAAGGATTGTGTTTCTGTAACTCCTCGTGCTTTGCACCGTCTTCTTGGCCCAGCCTTTAACTCTCGCTATATGTCTGTAGAAAAACCTTCGAATTTTTTCCGAGAAAATCAAAGGGTCAAGTCTACTGGTCAAGGTTTGAAGACACTTCCTTCCGACCAGGGTCATACTGTAGAAGAGTCGGAACCTTTTTCAGTTGGTGCAGGATTTGTTAGATCCGTTCCGAGTAATTTTAACTTCTATTTATCCAATAACAACACAGTGTGGCCCATGGAAGAGAACATTTCTATGTATATATCAAGTGAAAAACGTTCCCCGCATCTGAAGAGAAATCCAAGGGGTACTGGTGGCACCGTAAGCACCGGCAGCCCATGGGGTTGTCCTTCAGAAATTCGTTGGTTCGACCTGGGAGAAGATCATTTCCCGCGTTACCTGCGGAGTGTGGCGTGTACCAACGAACGATGCTGGTTTGGACACTTTTACTGTAGACCGAAGGCGTTCACTGTCAAAATTCTTCGACGCAAAAAAAACTGCGTGAAACAGAATGGAGACAGTGCACATAAAGAGTCATTGGATGGCGATCAAGAACTACCTCCAGAGCTACAAGAACAATGGGAGTTTGAAGAAAGAGCAGTTACATTTTGCTGTGAGTGTACCGTGTGATTATATGAGATTAGGAGACAAGTATATCCAAATAAGATTCCATCACCAGTTAATAGTATGTTTACTTCTATCCACCCTCAAGCATATGTTAATATTCGAAACACATTTTATGTTGATAATATATAAAAACTTGACTTGTTTTAGGTTTAACTTCGTTACTATATGATTTTTGAATTAGATGCTAATGGTAATTATCATTAGCATTTATTACACTTGCAAACCGTTAATCAAGTGTTTTTCAGCCATGTTTTATTGTTGGTATATATTAAGAAGTTCAAAATCGTCGAGGCCAACAGCTCATATTGAGATAATTAAATTCACTTAATTGATGCATCGATGTTAAATCATTGTCGAAACTAAAAAAAAAGTATCGTGCACCATTTAAAAAAAAACTACAAACAAACTGTATTTATGTGAAGGTGAACTTTTATTTGAAGATGTAGTATGAAGTGAAAGAATATTTTGACTAGAAGTGTTCAAGTATTAATACTTTTCTAGAAGTTAAACCCAACGTGGAACTTTGTTAAACCTATCAAAAAGTGATCGTACGTGATTTAGCTTGTTGTATATTATGAAACGTAAACACACTACATCAACGTGGAGAAGAACTTTCTTTTGGAAGACATTGCGAGTGTTTTTCCTAGGACTGGTTTTTTCATTAATTAACCCGCGTATCAAATACAATCCAAAATGGACAACTTATGCATGGTGTTAAAAACGTTCTTTCGTCAACAAAACGTGCCTTATATTTTTATTTCGTTCATGAAGAGTATTTCGCATGTAATATAGTAGATAAAAGAAAAATACAGTTTATGGAATAGTATCCCTTTTTATTTGTACATTATTTAAGATCACATTTTTGTAAGTAACAGTTATGTCTCTCAGATGTTTATTTTCATCGAGGGAAGAATGCCATAACCGCTAACTATTACACCAATACAGGTAATGTGACATGAACGTACACGTTATAGATATTTTTGTATTCGAACTCATTTATAATATTATCAACTCTTCGTACCATGTAAAAATCCATAACGCTGTAGCGGTTTGGAGAAAATTGTGTGAATGTACATTTTTTGTCAAAAATTACCCATGCGTATGTAAATTATTACAAGTTGTTATAGTAGGAAATTTAACTCGAAAAGGTACACATACCCCATGATCGTTGTAGAGGATTCCATAGCTATATAATTATTTGTCCAAATGTTTCCCGTCCCCCCTCCCAGTATGTTAGTCAACTCTGTGTCATATAGAATACGTCGGATATTGAACAGAATCGATGTTACGAATTTTAAGCGTTGTACGATTTGAAGGTAGAAGTTGGAGTTAACACCCGACCTGATGTCATTTTTTCGTAAACATAAAATAGTAACAGTTTTCGTAAAATACTTCTGAATAATATTAATAATATTGTCTTATTTAAGTGTTTTAGCTCATAATTATCACTGCCTGGACAGCGGAAACATTTCAAAAATTGGTTGAAAAGGGGAGGGTGGGGGAAATGCACGTTACGAACCAAGTTAATGAACAGAATATTTGGAAAATATTTTAAAAGTTGCAGAAAACTGGACAAAATAAGTTGACAAATCATCGATGTCTTCTTCGCGTTGGGTGTAGCCAGAAGTCCGTACGATCATATTACTATTGTTGATTAGGAAGAACAATAAAATGTATGAGGATTTATATTAACACAACTGCTTTCAAACCTGTGTATGTATAACATCATATCCAATTATACTTGTCATTAACATTATATCCTGAACGTTTCACCTTATGGCTTTATCAAGAGCTAAACACCACGCTGATAAAACCACAATGTGAAACTTTCAGGATATAAAGATTTTTCACTGGATACTAGCTGTTTCTCTTCATTGAATAATTATGTACTGAACCCCTACGTTCATGCGTTTGAACCCCCGATCTGCAAATAAATAAATAAATATTCTCTAAATAGAGAACGCGTTACTGAAACAGTTTATTTTTCAGCCACCTGTTTATGAATTAGTGATTGAGAAATACCATAATCCTTTAGGCATTGTTAAAACTGTAAACTTAGCTGCCACCTGAAAAAAAAAGTAGTCTGGGGGCTTGTAATGCTAGAATCGAGGTTTGATTGTATAGCTTTGTACTTAACAAACAAACAAGATAAAATACTGCCACAATACATTGCGACAGCTCTGGTGTGTTAAATATTAGTTTGTTTGTTTGAAATTAAGCACAAAGCTACACAGTGGTCTATCTGTGCTCTGCCCACCACGGGTATCGAAACCTGGTTTCTAGCGTTGTAAGTCCGCAGACATACCGCTGTGCCACTGGGTGGCTAAATATTAGTGCCGGAACCTTGCGAAAATTTGTAAGATGTGTGACGACACCATCAAGGTATAGATTTGAGTCCGTTTTAGATTTAAAAAAAAGTATGAAGCTGATTACTTAGATTAGTAATAACTTTATTAAGGCATATATTACAGAAAAACACGCAACCAAACTTTCTTGAAATAAAGCAGCAAGGAAAAAAAAAGAACAACAGGGTCGCGGGTTCGAATCCCCGTCACACCAAACATGCTCGCCCTTTCAGCCGTGGGGGCGTTATATAGTGGCGGTCAGTCCCACTATTTGTTGGTAAAAGAGTAGCCCAAGGGTTGGCGGTGGGTGGTGATGACTAGCTGCCTTCCCTCAAGTCTTTCACTGCTAAATTAGGGACGGCTAGCGCAGATAGCCCTCGTTTAGCTTTTCGTGAAATTCAAACCAAACCAAGAACAACAACTGGATTCCACATATGCAATACTTTGTTTCCCTCAACTTCAGTTTTAGCAAAATAATAACCAAACAGAATTAGTAGCTTTGACTTTTGTAATGCTTTGCACATCTCAGTTTCTACCAACACGAATAGTTTTTAAGAAATGACCTTCATTGTATAATATGTAAATAATAAGCCTTTTAAAACATGTACGTTTCAAACACACACTATAATTGTAAAGTCTATTTTAATATGTGCTTTAATATCATATTCATGACTTAACCACGTGATGTATGATACAAACATTTCACGCTATAACACCTGCTCTTGAGCCGGAGTGGTCGCACGATGCCTGACGACAATTTCTAAAGGTCAGATCTCAAATGGTCAGCGCGTTCTCTGACACTTTGAAGTTTTGGTTACGAAAAGTACTTAAGTTCGGTTGTAAGCCGAATAACGTATTCTTTGTTTTAGTTTTTAAAATCTCGGGACTCAGCCCTAATTTCAAGTGCTGGATTGGCACTACGGCATCACTACACGCCTGCACTGCGATATTCCGTTAACTTCTTGTACGAAAAACACGCTTAAAATCACAATGGGCTAAAATAAACTATTTTTGGCAGCTAGAAAAATATGTGACAGGTGAAACTGTCAGACCAATGAATATAATCAAGTTCATTGAGGAAAACTGTACTGTTTTCTTCTTAGAGGAGAATAACAGATTTCCTTAATCCTGAACCCTTTTCTTGTTTGAACTCAAGAATATATCGGATTATGTTGAAGTATAAGTTAATTAGAAGCGGTGTATCAATACTTAGTTTGTGTCAGTCATGTATCAAAAATTACTAATATTGTATGAACAACTGAGCCCAAGCAACATAACACGGGCCCCCATTCCTTCTCGCAAAAACACACTAATTAAAGAAAGAAATTTTATAACGTTCAAAATATTTTTGTGACTGAAAGTATTCTAAAATTATGGGTATTTTATTACTGAAATAGCATAGCTAGGTCTTATCACTTTACTTTTTTGGCCTTTTTAACGAATGTCCATATTGAAGTTTATTGTTCTTGCGAGTTCACACTCAATAAACAAAACAGTAAAATTATTTAAACGTTCCTGTACCATAAAATATCGTCTGCATTTTGTTTTGTTTTTTTATAAAGTCCAGTTTGCTGAAATTTCTTTTAGTTTCTGCCAACTCAAGTAACAGACAACATTTTACTTGTTTATAAGATGGATGCTACCTTAGTTGCAATATACAATGTTACCAACTTGAAACATATTAAAATGTAACAGTATTTTATATAATTAATCATATAAATAACATTTAGTGAAACACACAGAATTTAGTTTCAATTGTTTTCTCATATAACGGACCGGTATCCCTCCGACCCCCTTGAACCGCCGGGTCCCGGTAAACTGTACCCATTTTTATCCTTTTTTGGGGTCTGTGAACAACAGTTTAGAAACTATAACTGTTACCAATCATGTACTAGCAATTTCATAAATACCCCGAACTTAAAGAAATATATAGCAACAATTATCACATATTACTGACATTGTTATTTTACACCTACCAGCCATGTATCAAATGAATACAAACAGCAACTGATATGCAATCAACGTATAAACTAGCGTCTGAAGAGCAGTGTTAATTAAAGCTGCGAAAGTGCTACCAACTTAGAAATACCAAAAACATACATATGAAAAGTACAATATTTCGAACCTGATGGTGCTTTGAACAATTACATATATAAGTCTAATATATATATATATATATATGTGTGTATACATATATATATATATATATATATATACACACACACCACACACGCACATTTATTAGATGTATACATGTGCAATTACCACATGCGACCAAGCGCTTACTGCACACACAAATATTTATACAATCATCATATGAGTTAGCATTTATAAACACTCAAATATAACTATAAACAACTGTTAGACGGATTTACGACTCATAAATTCACACTAAATGTTTCTTTAGATACAATTACACTAACTAGATAAAAGTAATTTTTTAACTATACAATAATTCCAAGAACCTATAAGTGAAAGTGAAGCAGAATCACTAACTATAAAAGGCTTATTCCACTTGTCACTCTGTGGAGAACGACTTCACGCTTCCTTTTTGGTAATGCTCAACAATATACATCGTCGCTTAGAAACAAAACTATCACCTGATTGTTCTTAGGCCAACTATGGTGTTTATGCTGAACGATCAATATTCATGTCGAT